CAGGCGACAGCCGAATCCACCATCACTAAAATGCGCTCGTCATTCGCTACGATTAGCATTCCGGCAACCATTTGTACAGACAATGGTTCGCGTTTTACCTGTGCCGAATTTGGTAAATTTGTCGCCAACAACGGAATCCAACACGTTAAATCGGCCCCGTATCACCCAGCATCAAACGGATTAGCGGAGCGTGCAGTACAAACTGTGAAACAAGGCTTACTAAAGCAGCGAACGGGAACGTTGCGAACAAAACTGGATCGGTTCCTATTCTTCTACCGGTCTACACCCACAGAGGCTACCGGGAAATCCCCGGCGGAATTGATGTTCGGCAAAAATCTGAGAACGAGGCTTCATTTGTTGTTCCCGAACCCGCGTGTTGAAGTACTGGAGCGTCAGAAAACGTTTGTGTCTTCAGAGGAATCAAAGCCGGAAGTTACACTTCAGAACCATCAACCTGTTTACACCAGGTTACCGCATGAACAATGTTGGCAGCTGGCGACTGTGCTCGATTCTTCAGGAAGTCAAAACGATTTGCAGCTTCCGGACGGCCGGGTTGTTCGCCGGCACTCAGATCATGTACGCCCCAGGAGCACTGACACACCTGCCGTGAGTCAGTCACACTCGGAGATCGCAGAGCAAGCTGCAGATCACGACGAACACAGAACAACAGGGGAAACTCAATTACGCCGATCGACCCGGATTCGCAAACCGATCGAACGTTTTCAGCAAAGATTGTACCGCCAGCTAAAACAGGTAGGACTGTTACTTGTTCAATCAATGATCGCTCACTATGACCATGGACCTGATTGGCCCTACACACACACACGTAGATAAGCACGCACACACGCACTCAAGGACACACCCTAAATTTCCGTGTTCATATGTAAACCGTTAAGTGTTCAGTATACTGTGTACCAGGCTGACGCGTCTTCTTGCTTATTCGCTACTAGTTAAAATACGTACGTGCGGTTAGAGTCCAGCTGTGAGAGGCGGTGAATTTATTCAGTGGCGAGTCACATCCGCCACGTCGCAGTGTTGTTAAGCGGACATTTGTGGCCTTTTATAGGGAGAACACTTGCCAGGCGAAAACCCACCACGTCCTGAAACACTATCAGAAATCCGTTTGTACATTAATGTAAAACCAACAGAGCAGCTGTTCGACTGATTTAACCCTCGGTTAACCGCCGTCAATTGCATTCTAATTTCCTCTGTTAGCTGAACAGGTTATTTTTGGTCGGGGCGGCCATAATGGCTGAGGCCTGTGGAGGGTTAGACCTTTGTCATCTTCGTGTCCAGGTGAGCAAAACGTCCGATTCTTGCGTCTAGATTTCTCAGGATTATGTATACTTCGCAGGAGTATGAAGGCGTCATGTCCAGCTACCATTTCTGGACGACGGTCATGGTAGTGAGTGCATTTTTATCCACTTGTTGTACAGCCGTGTTCTATGTAGGTCCTTGGGGGTTTCTATGTCCTGTCCCAGGCACAAGCTCTTTCACGGTCCGATCCCAGATCCCCAAGAAGTTCCAGACCTCGGAGAAAGGGAAGGTGAGAGACAAACAGGGCCGCAAAGAACAGACGTGGGAATAAGCATTATTTATGTCCTATGGTCTAACATTTAGTGGAAACATATGATGTACAGTGTGTACCAATGATTATGCTAAAAGTGTCTTTTGAATATTCATCGGAAGCAAAGCCCTATAGGTTGGTTGCTACCGTATACCTTGGACACAGAGCGTTGCGCCGTTGAGCAAAGAAAACACAGGATCAGTTTGCTATGATGCAAATGTTGCGTGGGAAGATTCGCTGGGGAGCGTAGAATATGCTGACCCAGGGAAGGCCAGTGAGTCTGTTGGACTCATACATGAGTAAATTTCGCGAAACAGCAGCGAATAATTGAGGAATAAACACCTGTAAATGAGAAGCTAAGGGGCGTCTCTGTACTGACCAGGTGAGAGAGCGCCGAATTAAAAAGCTAAGAAGGGCTAATTGACGGAAGGACAGCGAATAGCCAGAATACATGCGTACATTAAGGCTGCTGAGGATATCAGAACCTGAGGTCTAACCGCAGCAGCCAGAGTGCTAGGGTAATAGTGCCAAGCTGGATAGAGCCAGGGACTGCTAGCCCGAGACTTGGAGTATTGCAGGTAAAAAATGCATAAGACAATACAGCAAGTAATGGGTAGATAAAGGTCTAGAAATGTGAGGCAGAAGAGCGGCTTACGCTGAATACCTGGATATGCTTGCACGACAGAAGAAAGCTAAGAGAGGTTTCGTGATAGAATGACAGCGGACAAGTAAAGCGCAAGCATACAAAGAGGTTGTTAGATAGTTAGAGCATAATACACTACGACGCATCGACGCGCAGCTAATCAAATCATGCGGTGGTGCTAATGGAGTATAATTAAGGAGGCCTGAGGCGGGAGAAGCCAGTGAGAGAGCTGTACTACAGTCAATTAGGTGTCGCGGATGAGCAGTGGCATTTAGGTGCGGCCTTATAATTGCTAGTGGACATCTGATTAGGGCAACAGACAGCAAGTGTATGTGACGCACGCAGTCCCAGGGATTAAAGCTTGGAGGGATAAAGTGTGGACCTTAGCAGCTCAGTATATGCGCAAAGATGATAGTAGCTTATGAAGAAGGACTGCTGCTAAACACGGGAGCGAGGTAAGATGAGGAACAGTTAGGGTCGTTCTAAGTGTGAGTATCAGTGAGCAGCAATGGAATTTGCATGAAGCCTTTTAGTTGCTAGTGTATGCCCACAATTACCCATAATAAATCAGCAAAACGCGGATGTATGTGACGCAGACAGTCACAAAGAATGTTCGAGATAGAAGAGAGCGGCTCTTAGGATACTGTGTCCATGCGTGAGTGCTGTATTTCCGGAAGCATGTTATTTTTGTAGAGGAGGTACAGGATCTAGTGACTGGATTGCTTGAGGATCAACGTGAAAGCCGTATGATGAACGTCCAAAGAGCTTGGGATGGTTTCCATGGAAAGGGGTAGTTTGAGATGCGATCTAATAGAGCTGTTTCGGATCATGTAGGGCCTCAGTGGCATCAAGCTTACCGACATGTTTAAGACAGCTACATCAAATCACCTGAGAGGATATCCTTTTAAGCTCAGCTATTGAAGGCCTCGATTAGATATCAGCAGCTGGAACAAGCTTCCCCCTAAGTTACTGAACTGTACAACAGTTGACGCCTGCAACAGAGGTCTAGACAGATGGTTAAAACATTTTCCAGAACTATTGTAGGCTTGTGGATGCTCGTTGCAGAGAACTCATTAAGGGTGAACGTACATGATTGCTACTTTTGATTCGTTTTCTTTGTAGAAGCAGGAAACGCAATTGGAAGTCGAAGTACGGGGCCCTTGATTGCCTACCGGTGCAAGTAGCAGGACGCTCGTTAGGCGGAAACCTATACCGTTCTGGGAACCTTGTAGGACTATTTAATAATAGTCCGAGACGGCGCGCGAATGTAAGCGCGGATAGCAAAAAGCAATGGGAGTCGGACACAGCGGATTGTATTCGATGGGCTACAATAAGTTGCGGACGGATGAAGCGAGGCGAGTGCGAACACGTGAGCGCGGGATTTTACAAGGTGGTCGAGTGAGGAGCCAAGTGTAAGAAAGATTAAACAAGAAGGAGTAATGTACAATAGGTCAACAATTACAATGTACATGAAAGATAGCAGTTATCTTTTAGGGCGCTACAGGGCTCCCTCCTAGAAGGCTGAACATAGAAAGCCTTCGAAATCGAAAAGGACTGTTGAAACGAGGTTCGTAGGGCAAAATCGTGCCGAGGAAAAAGGAATGAGCGTTCCCGTCAAGTGGGGGTTCGTCGGCAGTCGGAGTTCGCTATGCCGTTTGTGATTTGTTATTTATTGATCGCAGGGCAGGGTGCATTTCGGCGAGCCGTTGGAGCCGGGCTTGTCGGACTACAAAAACGCTGGCTAGTCCAGAGAAAGGCCGACAGGACCTCAACTTCCGCTGCTGCCTAACGCTGCGCTTGGGAGTACTCTCTCCCCGCGCCGCACCCCGCCCCGCGCCAAAACGACCCTCGTCCCACGAAGAAACGACCATGGTCCCATGGAGAAGCGCCATTCGTCCCGAAGAGAAACGACACTCGTCCCGCGGAGAAGCGACCAGTGTTTGCGCCAGGGTATTCCAAAACATTTCTCTTGTGGGCCAGTCGATCGAAGGGGAGGGTTTGGGGCATGTAGAGACGAGAAAATAGAATAACAAGCACAGAAAACGCCAAAAGGAACAAATGAATGATCTGCGTGTTTAAATTTTTTGGGTTTTGAATATTTTGTCGGAAAAGGTTTTTCGGAGGTTTTGGATGTTTTGTTTGTTTTCAAAACGTTAATTGACCGAAAATGGGGCAAATATGTACAATAGGTCAACAATGAAAATGTACATGAAAAATAGCAGTTATCTTTTTGGGCGCTACAACTTGACCTGACCTGACCTGGATGATAATATACCGAGGGCTTGGGATACGTTTCAGTCTTTCCTCTCTAATATATTCCTTCCCCACATCCCTTTTCCGGTGAAGCTTGCCAAAGCTAAGCCACGATTGTTGGTCGCACACTAGCTAATGAATAGACAGGAGAATGCCGGCGGATCTATCGGACAGTTCTCTCAGAATGTACTTTTCGGCATTATCGTATAGGGCGAACTGCTTGCAAGCGTCATTTATGAGCTACTAGACTTAGCTATAGGATAGAGCTGGCTAACAGCCTCCGCAACCACAAAACAATTCTTCACCTACGTCATAAAGCGTTGTAACGTTGGCTCATCAATCTCAATGTTAGTAGGCAGCTACGCCGCCACTACCAATACTGATCCCGAAAAAGCCGGTACTCAGTGCGCAGTATGCCGGGACTTTTGTTCTGGAGGAGCAGTGACCACTTGTTGAATTAACGCTGAGAGTCCCACAAGACATCTCAATTTCGGAGGCGCAAGTTCGCCCTCTTCTTCAGCAGCAAACTCCACTGGGATGGATGATATTCACCCAAACCTTTTGTTTGAACTCGCAAGCGAGCTGTGTGGCCAGGTGACACGTTTGTTTGAGTTATCCCTTCGTAGCTACTCGTTTCCCACGGACTGGAAAGATACCATCGGGCAACAAGCATCTCCCTGCCGGTAAGTTTGACATGCGTACTTGTCAAGGTATTAGAGAAGTTGGTCAGCGATGTGCTTCAAAACCACCTACGGGAGATCGGTCTGCTCAATCCACTTCAACACGGCTTTCGCAATAATCTACCCTGCATGACTAATTTGTTAGTTGCGTACGAATGTTGGGCGGATGCTTTTTTTCGGGGTCATGCAATAGATGTACTGAATATTGACCTCTCCACGGCGTTCGACATTGTACCACATTCTCTCCTCTGCTTGAAGCTTCGGTCCTATGGAATATCAGGGCGTGCATTACAATGGGTCACAACCTTTCTGGAAGGGAGAGAGATCTGTGTTCGTGTGAGGTCTAGTCTGTCTTTCCGTCAGTCAGTCTTCATTGGGGTCCTTCAAGGTTCTGTGCTTGGCCCATTGTTCTTTTCTCTGTATATCAATGAGCTGTCTGAACTGCTGGCGGTAGCATCTCTCATATTTACAAATGAGCTAAAGTTTTGGCACACAGTGTTCGACCTCGATGCATCCCAGACTCTGCAAGGGGCCCTCGATAAACTTTGGGACTGGGCTGCTCTGCAGTATTTCCCCATAAATTATGAAAGGTTCCATGGTACGATTCGAGCCAAATGCCCCCCAAACGCGTTATCTGCTTGATGGTAATGCACTGCAACATGTTTTCCAACTGGTAGACCTAGGGGTCACGTTGACTTCAGAACTTCAGTTCAGTGAGAACTGGAGGAAAGCTACATACAAGTTTCAGAATGTTGTGGATGATCCGCAGAGCATTCGGGTCTATCACGGGCGATATGTTTGTTAGGTTATCCTCAGTCTTTGTCCAATCACACTTCCACATCCAGGCTTGTCCAACTTGCTTAATCAGGGACATTATATCAGTAGAGTTTGTTATGAGTTGGAACAACAATGCTTCTTGGACTACGGAATCTTTCTTTCCCTCAAAGACTACTTGAACTGGGAATGTTCTCAAGGCGTTTTCGTTGCCATCGAGGCGACCTGTTTTCGACCTATCGCATACTTACAGGTAAAGTCGGACCCGACTTATCTGGGCTTTTACAACCGGCTCGGCTTCCGTCTCTCCGAGGACACACGATGAATCTACACAAACTTCGATCGGATGGAGTCCGAGCGGACTTTCGCTTATCACGTCGCGTGGTGGATTCCCGGAATACGGCACCTGAGAACCTGGTTTCGGCACCAACAGTGAAAGAGTTTGAACACCGACTTGACGCCTTTAGGCCTTCAGATTTTAATTTCCCCTTCTCATCTTAGCCTATTCGCCTTATTGAATTATTAAATCTGTTACTTTTTGGTTCATAACGTTCCTATTACATTCGTACCTCTGTTTCTTATTTCACGTGACCGATGCGGCGGGAACTGCCAACGCAGGTCGCGTGGGTATTAGTTGGTAGACCGTGGTGTGGTTCGCGTGTGCTGATCTGCCTCTGCTAGATTCCAGTTATCGAGGACGAATAATACCCTGGATCAACGATGCCCCACAGAAAGAACATTCGCGGGAATTTTTCCTACTATTCCAGTTTCACTTGAACTTGTACCTTCGGATGGCCCTGAACACAGCATATTCAGACAAGCTGCGACGCGAACTAACGCGTAGCCTGCCTTCTAACGAAGAAGCCTGGTGAACCAGTATGACTCAAGAACTGGAGGAGGTGAGAACAGTGGGCAATCCTCGCAGGCGCTCTCCTCTGCTCCGCACTAATGGCCCTATGAAACCTAGCGTCAGCGAGACTGTCAGATACCGTGCGGGTGCTCTGATTCACAATTAGTAGCGCCCTACGGCACGTTGGACGGAGCACTTTCGAGACCAGTTCAGTTGACCTCCTGCTTCCGGACCTCATCCTACTCAGGTGGAACAGGCCGATCCATGGTCGGCTAGTTTATAAGCACTGCCAGATGCTGATTTCCGAAATACCATCCCAGCCCTTAAACGTTTTCGAGCTGCTAGCTCTGATTCCCCAGCACCGCACTAGTTAATGATGGAGGGATGTACTCTGGGAAGCACTAACCCTTTGTTTGTACAGGTTTGGAATGAAGAGGCCATCCCAACTAACTGAAGTGAAGCGATTATTGTGGTAATATAAAAGAAGAGCAGTCGCTTCGACTATACTAACCACAGGAGTATTATCCTAACGCTCGTTATAACAAAAGTGTTGGCCTCGATTCTTAGTCATCGCCTTCCTGCGGAACGGGTATCCCGGATTAGGGAAGAACAAGCATGTTTCGTCACGAGACAGAGCTGTATGGACCATATATTCATCCTGCGGCAGGTACTAGTGCTGCACCACACGTACCGCATGCCGACAATAGCTGTGTCCCTGGACCTCAAGGGTGGGTTTGATACAGTCGATCAATCCAATCTTTTCTAGATACTTGCGCAGAAAAGTGCTTTTACGAAACTTGAACATTTTACGTGCACTGTACTCGAACAGCACAGGCATCAGCAGTACGCTGGTACGCGAACCGACGCGCCGCTTCCACGGAACCACGAAGTCGCTCGTCGGCTGGTTTTTCTGTGAGGGTCGCTCGGTCTCATACGCAGGCTTGAACCCGCGTCCTCGGGTTGTAGGGCAGGCTTTTCATCCTTTCGGCCACGGGCCAGGCCTACGGTGCCTTGTCGGATATCTTTACGACAACACGTGGTGTTTGTCAGGATTGGACAGTTTCCTCACTTTGTTTAACTTCATCATGGAGTGTGCTCTTGTGAAATCGCGCGATACAGGAGTTGCTGTGCTGCCGGTGAGGGGCCGTCTGATTGCACTAACGCGGTTAAATTTGAATTTCCGTGGTGCCAATTGATACTCCCATTTTGCGGCGTGAATAATTTGCCTTCATAATGCTATGGATAGGTAGCATAAATTAATATAAATCGTTTAGTAGTACTACATTGGACATGATGTGTAAACATTTTACTGAGGTAAAGTTAGTGAAATAAGGAAGGCCGACATGGTGGCGGAAAATCAACAGATGGGAACGTGCAGAAAATGCGTTCAACAAATATGCAGGTATTTCTGATAATGTAACGCTTTAAAATGTTGCATTTATTAAAACCGCAACTGACCGTCTACTGTAAACAGGAATCACTTTTAACAATGGTGCAGATATAAGGTTGAGAAAGCTGTACGGAATTTTAATCGCACTAACAATGTTCACGGAGGACATGAAATGCGACATTCTAAAGCAAGACATGTACCAAGTTTATTCCTAATGATGGGAAATACGTAATTAATAGGTGTGAAACTTACTTTGGATGCCTTGAAGGTAACCTGCAAGTCAGTGTGAATTGGTAACTTTTAAGAAGTGCGAAAGGAGTAACGGGAATGACGAGAGCATCACTATATGCATAGTTGAGGAAATACGGAATGAGATAACCAAAGCTAATACGGAATGTAGGGTAACCGCTATATTATGTTACCGTAATGCATCGTCTGTAAACGGGTACTCGGAAATGATCATGAGGTGATTAGGATTAAGTATTGGTTTCAGTGAAAGGGAATATGCAATTGTGGGAACGGTTTGTTGTTAGTTTGAGTTTGTTGCGAAGTGTTAGGCAAGTAAGGGTCATGTGGAACATGTTCATATTGCGAGATAAATAGGTTAACTGCGTATAAATTGGGGTAATTGTACGCCTGATTCTGAAATGCATATGTGTGTATTTACACACATATACCTATTTACGTATATAAATTTGCAAGCAGCTGCGTTAATGTTCAACGTACGTGTGTATGGATGTATATATATATATTTATAATTATAATTATATATATATATGTATACATATATGTTCATATATATACATATATACATAGCGGTATATATATACGTAATGCGTAGGCATACGCGAACCGATATATGTATCTAATCATGCATATGTACGTACGTACATTTCAAAGGTCCATTCCACTGCGTACAAAGGTACGTACTCTCTCTATATATATACATATATACATATATATATATATATATTTAATGCGGAATACGGCGACAGCTTATGACTTAATATATGAAGGTAAAATATTTAGCTGGGCATATGAAGGCCTTCCAAATTAATCCTGTTTGCTTAGCAATTTGCAACGAAATCGACCTAGAAGGACCTAAGTAAATAATCCCCTTCACTAACACCAATAATAAATGATAATCATTGCATGCTGTTTTCAAATGACCCCTTTATGGACACATTAATACAGGAATGGAAATTGATCTCTATTGGTAAATCTTTGTCAACTTCGGATATTTTTTCTGTATGTTGTCAACCATGCACATAGGGATGCGCAGAAAAGGATGTTATCATAAGTAACCCAGTTTACCTGCGGATAGCTGGGGGCCAAAGTGACAAGCGAATCCGAAACCGGATGCCGCCAACCATATATATGTATACATATATATATATGTATGTGTACCACTTGATAATAAGTAAATGAAGCCTGTGTTTTTGAGGAGGCGAGGCACGGCTTTACAGGCACGTTACCTATGTAGATGAGTATAAATATATCTAAATAGATAGATATTTGTATGTATGTGTATATGCATGTTAATATAAATGAAGATATATATACATATGTAAATATATATATGTATATGCATATGTATATATACAGATCTTTATTGTTGGCATGCATATATGTATACGTGTACATATGCATGGAATTACTTAAGTGTGTTTGGGTTAGACTGGCCACCGGGCACATGCGCCTACAGAGGGGCCATGGGTGGGTATTGCTTCACTACCTACGGTTTCATCTACACGCCCCATATGCAGTGTTAAAGGACGTACTTCAGACCGGGAGGCATGTGGATGGAAGGCAGGTTTTTTTCAAGGTAGCCGGCGCACACCCCTTAACAGGGAAACACATACCCGCTGTATTTTTGGAATCAAGCGCACACAAGTCGGTGGCTGGATCGTAGTGCGATGTACGCTGAGTGCAGTGAACCGCTAATCGAGCCTCACACGGCCACGAGGACCGTTCATCCCGTCACGTCCAGCAACGACCAACTGCCTCTTGGAGCTAGGGTGGAGGCGATAGTGGGTAAGAAACAAAAAGGTACCTTGTCAACATGCACATCCAGCGCAGCCACATAGTGATATTAAGTACCCGGTAATCATTGGTACGTACAACATAAAATGAAATGAATTCAGTGATGCATACCGAAAGGTGGCATAACTGTTATCTAAATTAGCGTATGATGTCAATTGGTCAGCAAGTATATCGCGATAACGATTAAACGTGCACTATGTAGTTAGAGATGATACATAGGCGACAAAGTTACGCAAGAAAACCGCAATTACCAAACCCATGATGTCGCATTACTGGAGTCAGGATGACATCAATCTGCACACCCACGCCGCATTATACACTACGCAAAAGTGGCTGCAGATTTGTTATTCTCTCACGTTAAGTGACACTGCGAAGGTGGTGGAATATGGATGTAATAGAAGAAGGACAGCTGTACTGCACTACTTTAGTAGATGTCACATACGACTGGAAGGAAGGATTACCGTTACGGTAAGTTATTAAACATAGGACCGTCCACTCAGTCGTATATTTAAGTCGGCTGCGGAATGATCCTGAGCACTAGGTGGGGGCAGCTGGTGTGATGTCGAAGGTTATGCCCCCGATGGAGTTAACGAATGCAATGCTCCGTGAATGGCACGTTAAAAGCAATAGTGCTATCTGCTCGTTATTGTGTGCACGAGAGGTGAGTACGCTCTGCTATTGTGTGTCACTGGGCATACCACTGCGGCTCTGCTAGATAAGTAATGATATCAAAGCAATGGTACCTGTGACGATGTGTCACTGAATAAGCACACGGCCGCTGCTGTACGTGTGGGGAGAGGCTCCAGCATGGTGAACTGTGCAAGTGGGCAAGAATCATCACGGTGATTTTCGGCTAGGCCATAATCCTATGCACGCATGATGATTGCATGCATGATTGCATGCAGGTTGATTGATTCCAAGAAACAAGCTATCTACCAATTGTTTGAAAAGTCAGCAGTCCTTTGGACTGCATTACCCCGTCCTTGTGATTATAATTGTTGCTGCAGACCAGAGGCATCATTCCTGAACGGCAGGGCACGTACGATGCAGAGAGATTAGTACGGGGAAATTAGTTGTTGGAAATAAACTTATGCGTGTCATAGTGTTACGGTGCTAAACGGTAACTGTGGGTGATGGAATGTAAGCAAGCCACAGGTAGTAATGGGATGTTCACAAAAGCTTACTAACCTTTGGTATTGCAAAGAGATTCGTTGACTT